AAAAAAAAAAGAAAGAAAAAAAAGAAAAAGAATATGCCTATGGATTATGGAAACATGGGAAGAATTTATTGCTTTGTTTGTGGGGAAGAGGAGTATCTCTATTTCAAATTTTTAAAAATTGTTTGTTTGTTTGGTACAGGGTCTCACTATGCAGCTTGGACTCATAGTAATCCTCCTGGTGTGGCATGCAGTACCAGGGATTGAACCCAGTCCTTGCACTTTTCAAGCAGGCACTTAGACCACTGAGCTATCTCCCTATCCCTGATGTCTGAATTGAGATACAGTTTGGGTTGGGTGCCAAAAAATGTTTGTTACATCATGAAGATTCGAAGCCTTACAAAAATGGAACAATATAGATAGGAGGAGTCGTGAGTTAAACAGATTAATAGTTTGTCATGGCTGTTGCTGTCACTGCAATGTGATGTAACTTTGGTAAGAAAACAGAATAGGAACATTGGGGTGCAGTAGATAGTCTAATGTAGATTTTAAGAAAGGAATTGACCTGACTAAACTTAAGTTTTGGAAAGTTGTTCTCATGGGAAATGCATTGATATGAGGAAATGCAGGAGGCATTGGTACCCATGAAGAGGCTATTGCAATAATTTAGATAAGAAAAGATGATGACCTTTTTTAGCTGTAAAGATAGGGAAGTATACTCATTAGATCAAAATAATAATTAAAAATGTCAGACACTGACTGGGTTGATCACGTTTGGTAATAAGGAAAGGTACTGTGCCAAGAACAGTGCCTAGTTTCTCTGTGGCATGCCATTCAAGATACATATTTTCTAAGTAGTTTCACATTTAAAGGTTCATTTAGAAACACAGAAAAGCAATAAGGTAGTTTTTTTTTTTTTTTTTTTTTTAATGTATTTAGTACAGGGTCTTCAGGGTCTCACTACGTAGATCAGACTTGTAGGGATCCTCCTGTTTTCAGCCTCCCAAGCGCTGGGATTATAGGCGCACACCACCATGCCCAGTCTCATTTGCCTTCTCAGAGCACCCCGGCGGTGTGACCCTTGCCACTCAGCTCTGCCTAAGCAGGCACTTTAGTCTGCTGAGCTATCTGTCCAGCAGGGTATGTTTTTGTTTGTTTGTTTGTTTGTTTGTTTGTTTGTTTTAAAGAACCAATGATTACCCTAAAATTAAGCTTTTTTTTTTTTTTTTTTTTTTTTTTTTTTGTAGCTCTTGTTTTTCTTACTTTGTGCGGACATTCATATGTGTCTTTCAGAATTAAGATTGCATGATGATGGTGTGATGTTTCAGAGGCCTACTGGCAACATTGTATGAAAAAGTGTATAATTAATCTTGCTAAACTCCAAAATATCCTGATGAATATTTAGTCTAAAGCAATAATGAATTATGGACTTACACCTTAATTAGGAGTATTTTTGTTCTTCTTGTAATGAAACATTATTTTCTAGTAAATACTTGTATGTGGCAATGTAACCAATTACTTGTGTATTATATAGTACGATCTCCAAGATAGAATGAAAAATGAAGTTATAAGCCATAGTATATAGTATGCTTCTGATTGTGATTTTAAAAACATGGAAAAAGGGAGGGCATACACAGACCTACACATGCATATAAACAAAAGATATCAGTGACTGAGAACTGGGAGTCAGTAATAAAATAAAAACTTATGTATTCGTTTATGTGTACATGTGTACACAAACACACATATGTTCTGGTATATTTAAATTATCTTTGGTACTTTGGTACTTGTACTTTTAGTTCCATCAGGAGTTTCTTTTACAACAATAAGCAAGAAATTAAATATTTAAAATATATCATAATTTTTGAAGTTGGTGTTTTCTTTGGTGATATGTTGTTTCTTAATGTTAAAGCAGTTTTAGGTTCTGATTTGTAGTGAGTGCTAAATTAGTAACATTAGTGCAGGGAAATAATTTCCTTAGGTTTAGTTGTGTACTAACAAACATATTCTTCATGCCATTTTCCATTTATAAAAATATAATAATTGGTGGATATGTGATACAGTAAATAAAGCAAAATGCCAATTTTAAAATCTAGGTAATTGATAGAATTTAGAAGTTTGAATATTTTTATAATGTTGAAGATAATTGTAACCTTTAGTGAAGAAATTGTTAAATGAGAATATTGTTATGTTACTAGTATAATATATTTGATGTTCTTTTTCTCTATTGATTGTGAAAAATCAGAACCTCTTTTTCTGTTAGCAGAAAGCAATTTTAAGGTCATATAAATCATAAGTTTTCTTCTGATGGAAATTGTTTTATCCTTTAAAGCAGTATTATGACCATTAGTAAAGGTAGATGAAACATTTATGAGGGTTTATAAAAACATTTTTGAAATAAACATAAATTAGAGCAGACAAGAGTTTAATGACTATTTAGAACTTTTATTCTTCTATTTTAGGGAAACTGGAAACATCAAAGCTGGATTAGAACATCTGGTAAGTTCTAATTTTCTCTTGAAGATTTGCATCATCTTTGATATCTGCATTCTAAATGAACACTTTGGAATGAGCTTTGAATACTTTGTATTGAGAAAGTCAACCATTCCCCAAAGGGTCAGCTTGCTGTTATTATGTGAAGGCACTTACATTTCATTTATCTTATCATTCGATAGGAATTTAAAATTGTTTTAAATTATCTTTCTTTTCTGATGTAGAGATGAAATAAAATGAATGGCAATTCTTGGATTGATGATTGCTTTAATTGTGAACAAAAATTGGTGCAGAATTTTTGGCATATCTTGTTCTGACAAAAACAAGCTTGCATTTAAAAAAACAATCAAATATTGCATGCATAAATATGGTGTGTTTTAGCAAGTTAACAGCACTAAAAGAATTGCACAGCTTTGTTTTTCTTGATGTCTGCTTTATGAATAATGCAATGGTTTAAACTACATTCAATTTTAGACTATAAAATAATCGTGATGCCAGATTTTTGGTATAAGGAAACATTTTTAAAGAACAAGTAAAACAATCTGATTTAGCATTAAAATCTATGTAATCTAAGAATTTGAAAAATAATAGTATAATTACTGGTCTGAAACTCACGAGACTGAGTGCTCACTACAACATTAAGTAGTTCATTTAAACAGAGCATTATAAAGTCATGCTCTGGTTTCTAGTCAAATCCAGCTGTTGAATAATTAATGGCAGAGATTCTTTTGTAAATACAGTCTAAGTACTTTTTTAATGCAAGACTTCATTCATATAATATACTGTAGCTTTGTTAACTATTAATGTGCTTTTGTGCTGCTTCCACATTAAAAAAAAAAACTGTAGCAAGAGGAAGCTTCATTTTGATTACGGAAATTTTTGAGTTGGAAGTGATTTTTGGCTTTTGTTTTAGTAGCTAAAGGAAACCAGGGAATCCTAGATCTTTAACAGTATTCCTAAAATTTTTATGTTGACTTTAAAACACAGGATGTAATTACCTAGCTGTTTTTAGGAGTAGAAATAAATAAATAATATTATTATCATCATTATGAAGTATTTTCTGAAGCCATATTTATGACACCAACATTTAAGACCTAAGCACATTAGACAAAAAGGATACTCTGAAACATCACAATCCATATCAACTGGAAGCTTGTATGAAGGAAAAATGGCTACCATGATGTAAAATGGAATTTGCATTTCTCTTATACATTATTTATTAAAAAACTTTGTTCATTTCTTCTGGAAATAATAGTTTGTTTTTTTTGTCAGTGTCATATTTCTATACTTATAGTAGGATCTCATTTTCATATCTAATTCACACACAGTCTTGTGTAGCAGTGATTTTCTACCTGCCAAACAGGTGATTTCCAAGACTCCTACTACCTCATTTTATTAGAGTTGTTGCACTTCTACTTGTCTCATAAACTTTTGAACTTTTTTTTTCTTTTCAAAGTTTTATTGATAAACATATAGCAATGAGACAGTTTCAAATCAAATCGAAAGTACAGTTTCAACAAATAATACACT